TCCAGCTTGCTCTATTTTAGGGACATGCTCTTGATTGGATGGATTAAGGGTCAGTGGTAGTATCAGATTAAAGGGAAAATGTGTTAGAATCAGAACTATGTTTATTGACACTTTCTGTTTATGGCAGGGTTTTTTTTAAACTTGGCATGAGTGATTTTTCTTCCCTTCCCCAAGGAGAAGACCTGTGCTTCTGGAAATGTATGCTGGTATAACCCCATCGTTAAAAAATTGCTGCTTCAAGTATGTTTATTTTTCTGTGGCTATAAAAGTGACCTCTCTTTAGGTGGAGCACACATTTAGAAAAAGGAAGGCGAGGGGTTACAAAAAAAGCTTCCTCCTCAGGAAATGAGAAGCTGGCCTGCTCATAAGGTAGGAAGTTTTACCCCACCCTCTTTTTAATTATTTTATCGCTTATTTACACCCTGCATTTTTTGGCTTTTGTTCTTAGAGAACTTTTTTCTGTCACTTTCTCAATTTGAAACGCATTTCAATCTTAGTAAGTAGTAGTTTAATTTGGTGATAGAATGAATGCTTAGTTTGAGTGCTTTCTCTGCACATGAGTGAAGTTTTGGGTGCTGTGTAGACTTAGTCAGATGAAGACTTTATATCAAATGACGGGAAAAGATCAGAAATGGAAAGAGGCCTTTCTGTTGAAGTTACTCTTCAGGATATCTTATACTAGCAAATATCAGAGGGGTAGCCGTGTTAGTCTGAATCTGCAAAAGCGACGAGGAGTCCTGTGGCACCTTATAGACTAACTAGCTGCTTTTGTAGCTTCTGCTCTCTTGGAATTCACACCTCCAGATCAGCTGCTAGAAGTGGGCCTCATCCTCCTTGATTGGATCCACCTGGTCATCTCCAGCCTGATCCTGACCTGCATATTTATTCCTGCCTCTGGAAATTTCCACTACATGCATCTGACGTCGTGGGTCTTTGCCCACGAAAGCTTATGCTCCTACACTTCAGTTAGTCTATAAGGTGCCACAGGACTCCTCGTCGCTTATACTAGCAAAGTTTGTCCTATATGGATAATTGCAGAAGCTGTAGTGGGAAAGGATCCAATATTTATTACAATACAACTGTTGAGGTCTATCCCGATGGAGCCTGTCCTATAGGTTCATATCGTTGGAAATGCCTCATAGAGCAAACCTGTGGTTTCGCTTTACCCATTGAACTATTTGTTAGCTCTTTGGGATAAAACTGCAAGACAGATTTTAATTGTATGTGTATGTATGTATGTAACTTTCTATGCTTCGACACTAAGCAAAACATTTTCTGTCCTGTAGGCACTAGCTTATCTAACGCTCAACATGGATTGAAAACCTTGTCAGAACGGGAAAATTGCTGGGTATGATTTAGTGAGTGACTTGTGCTGTGCTTGGACTTTATGAGATTCAGCAAGTTAATTTCAGTTTCAATTTGAAACCATAGTTTTGAGGTGTCAATTTCCTGGGCTGCTAATTCAGAAATGAAAATAAGCAACATTAATGAGTTTACTAAACGTTAGCAGAATGAGTATTTCAGACTTAACTTTCTATGACCACTGCCCAAACCCTCATCTTCTGAAGTGTGGTAAACACCAAGATAAAAAATATACAACATATTGAAAATAGAGTGGAGGAAGCATGAAATCCATGTCAAGTAACATGTATTTTCATTGAATCGGAAACAGTTGCTACAGAAGTTCCAGTTCCTTGTGCTGGAGTGTTGCAGAATCCAGGGATCTTGTCTCAGAACCACTGCAGATTGTAGTGACTTAACAATAGCTAGTTTTAGTTGGTGTCTAACTACTTCTATTATAATTCATAGAAGTTGTTGTTACAAATACTACTGTAACTGCACTGCAAGGTATCTGCATCCAACAGCACTCTTCTGATGGGATGTTCAAAACACAGTGCTATAGCAATTCAGCATTTGGCATCGTTGGTTTTCATGCTGCTGTGTGCTTGTGAAACCTGGTATTACTGTTGACACAAACTTGAGTTATGCTTAGGAATAGAATTTATCCACGTTTAGATTCCATACAATATAAGAGCCCTCTACAGCTGGTCAGTAAATGCACCATTAACTGTTTTTCTTTTTAAAGGGGACTTAATTCCGCTACTACGCAGACCACATTTCATTGTGATGAGAGTAGTTGGAAAGACAGTATCATGACACCAACTCGTTTGGCAGGTAATAGATTTAAAACAGCTGAAATACTTAACTTTCAATTTGGAAAGTATATAATTGGATACAATTCAGTATGAAAACTCAAAACGCAACAGATTTTGAGACTGTCTGATGTGCAGAAACTGCAATCAAAGGGCTAGAATAAAATAGAAATTCTGCTATGGTGTGCTCTAAGCATCAAAGACAAAAGCCAGTCCTCTAATTGGGCAAAATAATCGCTTAATTTTGGATTGTTACCTATATCTGAAATTTAGAATAATTCTTACATATGTGTTGTTTAATTAGTGCCTCTAACTGTGAAGATTAAATAAACTGGTGTCTGCAGGATGGCTGTTCTGGTACACATCTGGGCTTAGCTTCATTTTTAGAGCTTTAAGGTGCTATCTACACCATTGTGTGACAACTCTTGCCTTTTCTGCCACATGTTTTAAATGCTCAAGTATTACTTAGGAATCTGGTTTAATCAGTGGTCATTACCAAGGATACTAGGAAATGCCATTTCTGGTGTGCTGTGGACATGACCATAAAGTAACTCCATCAGATTTTGGCACAGCTACTTTCGTGGCACTAAATCTGTTGGAAACAATATGAGATCAAAGAGCACTTTCAAATCACAATTCCTGTTTTGTGTAAATACTTGGCGAATCTTTTTTTATGTAGGTTTGTTCTGTTCAGAATAGTCAGATTGCAGCAGAAGCTTATCTAAATGAGCTTAAAACCATCTTTCAGACAAAAATCCCTGACTATGGAATATTTCTAATGAAGTAAAAACAGATCTTTATCTGAAGCTCCTCAGTCATCTGAAGAGCAGTTTATCCCAGGACTCTTGCATTTAAATGTAACTGAAGAAAACTGCCTCTGAGTAGTGTTGTTGCCGCCCACCCTCCCCCTGTTTATATTATATCTCTCCCTTAGCTGTATTTTATCACTTTATACTAACCAAATTGTCAACTCTTTAAACCCTTAGGGTGTGTCTAGACTACTTAGTTTTGTTGACAAAAGTGGACTTTTGTCGACAAAACTATACCAGCGTCTACACTACTGCTGAGTTCTGTCGACATAACGTCGACAGAACTCAGCAGTTTTGTTGACGCTGGTATACCTCATTTTACGAGGCATAACACCTTCTGTCGACAGAGTTCTGTCGACAGAAGGTGTTATTGCCTGTAGGGTTGCATCTAGACTACAGAACTCATTGTGTCTGGACGCTCTTTGTCGACAGATACTGTCGACAAAACCCGGTAGTCTAGACGTACCCTTAGTGTCTGACAGTCACTGACACACATTCCAAATGAAGACCAGGAAGTGATTTGGATATGGAAAACTCTCAAACTATATTTTTCCTGGAACTAGACTGTGGACTTCTGTATATGCCATCTCTGAGTCGGCTTCATGACACAAAGAATTTTGTTGGTCTTTAATGGGGTTACAGACAATCCTTAATTGAGAATTATGGGTATGAGAATTATTAATGGTTACGTGTTGGCAGGAGCATAATGATGTTTCCCAAAACTACTTGCGAAATCTCGCTCCAGATCTTGTCTTTATAATTGGCTCTTACTCTGATCCATTTTTAAATCTTCTATTCACTTAAGACCGTGGTCACCAACCAGTAGATCGTGATCTACCGGTAGATCTCAGGGGCTCTAAGAGTAGCTCTTGAGCCGTCTCTGAACTGTGCACCTGTGCAGTACATTAACATTAGATTTCCTCATTTAATGTAGGCGGGGCTTCAAGGAAGGGGCGGGGCAGTAGATGTTCGCTTGTTCTGAGACTTAAAAAGTGATCTTGTGTGTGTAAAGGTTGGAGACCACTGACTTAGGACAACAGCTGTTTCATATTAAGCAGAAAACTTCCAAGTAAGAAAAAATCCAAGACAAAAGCGAAACCTGCAAAACTGAGCAGAGGAAATGGAGATGGAGAGGAAGAAGATTCTGCTGATGTGCCTGGGTCTGTGTAGGAAGTGCTACACAGATCAGAAAACTCTTACATCACGGAAACCCAAAAATTCTGGTTACTGCAACCCTGATTCGGACGCTACGTATCTTCATATGTGGCGGCAGGCATTTACTTCAAACAAACTGTTCAGCATTCACCTTGAACGTTCAGTTATTGCAAGTGATTGACTTACAACCAAGATGTTGTTAGAAGTATAATTGCACTGTTTTTTGGGTGAGTTACAATTTTATCTGTAGACACTGTCAAAAAGTCAATGTTTCAATAAAAACACAGTAATAAAGGAGCTGTTCTTCGTACTGAGCAAAGTAAAACCTCAAAAGCTTTCTATCTGTAGAAAAGGAAAATAAAATGTCAAATTAACGTACCTAAATTGGTTCAGAGATTAATACAGCCTTTTGTCACCCTCCCGGTAGCTTTTTAAAAAGTCTGAACAGCTTTCTGCCTCTATGGAAAACAGTAATAAAATTTGAAATGTGTAACAAACTTAATGCAAGTGATACACAGCACGTCGCTTTCAGAAGCATTTTGTTCTTTTGTTTTTGTCCATCTTGGACAGAAACAGAACTTTGTGCTAATAATAATGGCTCTTTTGCAACCCACAACTCATAACCAATATGAGTTGTGCTACTTGTAAGAGTGAACAGTAACTGAACACATGGTTACAATATTCTCTATTCAGCATATCTGTCTTTCACTTATCTTTATGAAGTCTTAATCTTCCATGCCTCTGTCCAAATTTTAAGCTAAATGTCAATTATGGAACACAAAATGAATACAAAAACATGCTCCGTGATGATGGATCTACCAAATGTTTAAGGTGTGGAAATGTCATCTCTTAAACTGTGGAATAAATTGGGGTTCCTGAGTGTGTTTTGCACAATGTCAAAGCAGCACTGCAATCTCTCCAGTCCTCCCCGTGCAGCAGCAGTTTGCTTGCTGCTGTGTTCTTAGGGCAGAACATAAGCATTCCAATTATTTGTTCTTGGAGTCACTCAGATTCTTCCCAGAGCTTTGAAAGAGGACAGGGCTCATGCCTGCAGGTCTGCAGAAATCCTAAAACACTGAGCAGATCCATCAGGGTAGGTAAGGTGGGATACTGGCAGAGGCTAGTTGTCTCAAATGGCTTTTTGTCAACAATAAAAGGGGGGGGGGGGGAGACATCTTAGAGCTAGAAGTTTTTTGTCACCAAAGCTGAATGTCTTTCCCAATCAAGTCCTATTGCAGCGTAAATGCTCACTGTTTTGCGGATAAAAGGGAATTTTTGGCAACGCTGCCAGTATAGTCTAGGCCTAAATTAATAAATTGTTTATAGTGATAGTCAGAATTCCCAGTCTGGAGTGAGAATATACAAACAAATCACTATCCCACAGCAAACATAATTCCAAATGGAGACAGGGATGAGAACTGTGCACTGAAAATCATCTCATTGTGTTGAACCTTAGCAAGTTAGAGAAATGGTCAGAGGTAAACAGGATGAGGTTTAATAAAGAGAAATGCAAAGTGCTCCACTTAGGAAGGAACAATCAGTTCCATACATACAAGATGGGAAGCGACTGTCTAGGAAGGAGCATGGCAGAAAGGGATCTAGGGGTCATAGTGGACCACAAGTTGAATATGAGTCAACAGTGTGATACTGTTGCAAAAAAAGCAAATATGATTCTAGGTTGTATCAACAGGTGTGTGGTAAGCAAAACTCATGAAGTCATTCTGCCGCTCTACTCTGCACTAGTTAGGCCTCAGCTGGAGTACTGTGTCCAGTTCTGGGCACCACATTTCAAGAAAGATGTGGAGAAATTGGAAAGGGTACAGAGAAGAGCAACAAGAATGATTAAAGGTCTAGAGAACATGACCTATGAAGCCAGGCTTCATGAACTGGGCTTGTTTAGTTTGGAAAAAAGAAGATTAAGGGGGGACATGATAGCGGTTTTCAAATATCTAAAAGGGTGTCACAAGGAGGAAGGAGAAAATTTGTTCCTCTTGGTTTCTGAGGACAGGACAAGGAGTAATGGGCTTAAAGTGCAGCAGGGGAGGTTTAGATTGGACATTAGGAAAAAATTCCTAACTGTCAGGGTGGTCAAATATTGGAATAAATTGCCAAGGGAGGTGGTGGAATCTCCCTCTCTGGAGATATTTAAGAACAGGTTAGATAGACATCTGTCAGGGATGGTGTAGACGGAGCTTGATCCTGCCTTGAGGGCGGGGGGCTGGACTCGATGACCTCTCGAGGTCCCTTCCAGTCCTATTATTCTATGATTCTATGATTCTAAGACATAGGAGGTAATTGTTCCACTCTACACAGCAACAGTGAACAATGTTTCCTCTAATTTTTTTTCCATTCATATGCAGAATAAATTTTGTTGTATGCACTGGAGCATGTGCAGATGTGCACTAGCAGCAGAAACAGGGGCTAACCCTGGTGAACTGCATCTGGACTATGGGCCACCTATTGTCCACCCATGGGTGGCAAGTGAAGGTGGGGAAGACAAGCCTGAGCCCCGCCCTTTCTGCCTGAGGCCCCGCCCCTTCAGCAACCTCCTCTCTCCTGCAGCCAAGCCCCGCCCAGCCCTAGCCTGATCCTTCCCAGGTAGCTGGGGCATGTAGGCTGTTGTGCCCATGTGCCCACCCCAGCTTTACAGTGACACCACCTGTCACTGGGCTGGATTGCACCCCAGAATGTGACACATCCTCTCAGAAAAAAAAAAAATGTTTGCACAAAAGAAAAAACACCATGATCGGTTTTGAGAATGGTGGTATGAAGTTTCACTAGTTACTACCTGGTCTTGGATTCAAGGCTGAAACTGAAGAAAACCAGTGACTGTAATATACAAGAAAGAAGTTGGAGCACAGTCAATTTTGAAACAGTGATTGTCCAGATCCCACCTGGTCATCAAGTAAAAGTATCCAGTATGCACGTTCTGGTTGATAACACACAACTGGATGATCTGGCAAAAGCAGAAAGTATATGGGAATGAGATACAAACACTGGCACTTTATCTTCAGGAATAGGATAATGGACCACCCTTTGAGAGTTCCTGGACGCTGCCAAAATATGTGACTTTGAAGCCCTAGACAGCCCTAAACAAAGGGAATTGAAAGATATGGAGTCCTTAAAGAACTTATTCCAGAAATTAACCGGGGCCAGAGAAAATTCACTTTTAGCCCAGCTCAACTACAGAGCTATACCGCTAGAAAATGGAAACATCAATGTGAGATGTAATATTTTGTCTAACAGACTTACACACGCTTATTCACAAGACATGAGAAATAAAGCAAGGTCCCTCTGTATCTACCTTGGCACACAAGAGAATATCCAGGAAGTCCAAGTGTCTCTTCTTCTTGATCTTTTCAAGTTCTCGCTCATCTTTGAGGGATTTCTTCCTCTCCTTAATCACTTTTTCTGTTTCAGAAAAATAAAATAAAATCAATTTTTAAAAAGATAAAAAATATATATTTCAAGACTCTGGATTTTTCTGCTAGCTCTATCCACAGAGTCCAGGGCCATCATTCAACATGTGAAGTCTTTTTGGCCCAATTAGCCTCCATGCTAATGATGATAGGAGTCACTCTGAGTAGGTGCCAGAGGATGTAGGGCAGAAAAGCAGAAACCTTTTTTGAAATATGGTGCATCTACACCGTGCCATCCCTTACTCCTCATAGAATAAGGTTTACAGGGATGGCAAAATAGCACGTCTGCTATATTTTGAAATAGCAGACATGTTCAAAAGACGTGAGGGAGCTATTTTGGGATACCTCTGGTATCCCAAAATAGAACTGCAGTGTAGACATACCCCATGACTCTCAATATAGTGACAAAAGCAGATGTTTGATTGGAAATCAGTGTCCAGGACTGGATCAGTATTGATAGCCCTGCTACAATGCATGGACCATGTAAACACATTCCGGCAGGACAGTACTAGAACGCCCCAAACTAGCCCACAATAAAAAGATTTGACACAAGTGATGAAGAGTGATATTTTGTCTGAAATGCCAGGAGGAAAGTCCCAGGGGAGGTAACCCACATGTCATGAAAGGCGTAAGAGGATACGGAGGGTGTGTATCCCAGATTGTTTGCCTCAGTCTATACATTTTGGGGTACCTCACCATAACTCTTTGTCTGGCCTAGAGAGCAGTGAAAAGTCCCACCACGGACTGAGCTGACACCATTGTCGGGGATATTCATGTACCAGCAGACCTGTAGGAGCTACAGACCATGCTTTGACAATTAACCTAGCTGCGTGTCTTCATCCCTTATCTTATTTTGTGATCCCAGGGGGTTCTCTCAGGGTCTGCTGGGCCAGCTATCTGTGCAGAGCCAGGGCAGCATACAGAGGGAGCACATGCATGCAGCCGAAAGGCTATCAACATTTGACCGAGCAAAACATCTGACAAGACACCACATCGGTGACATCTGACAACAATTAGAAGCTGGAGGATGGTCAGTCCTCAAATTCTGCCCACATAGGTCATGACTGGAAGGTGCCATCTGGTATCCACATAACACCTTTGATGACAGTCTTATCAAAGAAGCCACACTTGATGTGTTTATGAAGAGTGCACCTCTAACGCCCCAGAAGAGAGGTGAGGCCCATTGACAGTGCAATACATGGGAACCTTGCCCAACAATATGTCTAGATCAATAGAAGACTTTGGTCTCCGTGGGTGCGTCCACACAGCACCCGAAACTTGAAATAAGTTACGCAATTTGCGCTAAGCAAATCCTGAAATAGCATTGCAGGGTAGACATACCCCATGACTGTCAATATAGTGATAAGACGCCATTCCAGCTCTTGTGGAAGTCAACTGATAGCTTCTCATTGGCTTCAGTAGGAGTTCGATCTTCTCTACAGGACTGCTAACCCCTCTCCCCAAGTCTCAGAAAAAGGCAGCCAGAAGGGCCTTGGGAAATACCTGTTTGGAGATGCACAATGTCACAGGCCTTCTGGAAGCGGCGTCCATCACGACTGAGCCAATAGATGAAATCAAAATGGTATGGGAGGTACCACATCCTGTATTTTAACTGAAAGGTGATTTCATAGACAGATTTGATGTAGGCGTTCTCCCTGAAAGAAAAATTAGAGGAACTTACACAGCATAGTAAGGGCATTTAGCAAAGTATACAACTTTTCCGCCTAAGGTAGAGGTGTAACAGTCATCATTCAAAGCTGCAATACCGACACCTATGCCCTGACTCAGTGGCAGCAGAATCGCCAGATTACTCCCAAATAACTGAGCTCAGTTAGAGCTGAGAGGACTGACATTTTGGTTTGAAGGTGTTTCTAAAATATTTTTTTCAAAAATTCGCTTGGGTTAAACAGAATCCAAACTTTTCAATCAAAAAAGTCCATTGTGGGTCTCTTTTAGAAGCTGATTCAACCCAGAGATGCAGATATCCCAGGTGAGTGACTTAGTCACTGGGCTAAAATGTGTGAGAGGAAGGAGTCCAGCCTCCTGCCTTGAGGGCGGGGGGCTGGACTCGACCTCTCGAGGTCCCTTCCAGTCCTATGATTCTAAGGGCATAATAGGACTACCACCACCTCCTGCTCTTTTGTGACTGGTTGAAACTATGTGTCAAATTTGCAAATAGTTTTGAGTCGACCAAACTACTTTTTTGGGAACTAAGTTATTTGTCCAAAAAACTTTGCCCGGGTCTATCCCAGTACTGAAATACTTGTCCAGAAAACTGTGGCATATCCCAGTACTGAAATATTTGTCCAGAAAACTTTGTCCAGATCTATCCCAGTACTGAAATATTTGTCCAGAAAACTTTGTCCAGATCTATCCTAGTACTGAAATATTTGTCCAGAAAACTTTGTCCAGATCTATCCTAGTACTGAAATATTTGTCCAGAAAACTTTGTCCAGATCTATCCTAGTACTGAAATATTTGTCCAGAAAACTTTGTCCAGATCTATCCTAGTACTGAAATATTTGTCCAGAAAACTTTGTCCAGATCTATCCTAGTACTGAAATATTTGTCCAGAAAACTTTGTCCAGATCTATCCCTGCTTCATCCCCTGCAGGCCAGATACTGTGGTTGGGCAGTGCCAGTGTAGGTAAGTTAATCATGACCCTTGTTCTGAGGTTGACGGTCAACTAAGCATGCTGATACTAGAGGCGTTAGATTTCTGTTTAAGCTGGTGTATTTCAGGAGGGTGCAAAGGTTGGTGACCTGAATTTGGACCCCTTTGGGCCAAGGGTTCTGGTGCTAAACCCTGGAGAAAAAAATAGTTCCTTTAGAAATATCTAGGGGGCCTTTTGCCGATAGCTTTTCTATAGATGTGACGTGTGCATCATCATTTCCTCATCTTGGGTAAAACTCACACTAATACAGTGGTCTCCAACCTTTTTACACCCAAGATCGCTTTTTAAATGTCAGAAGAAGCCAATATCTACCACCCCATCTTTCCCCCAAGATCCCACCCCGTCCTTGAAGCCCTGCCCTTTATATTCTCCTTCTCTCCATCACTTTCTATCCCCAGCCCTTATACACTCTACACTGCTGCTTTTTTTCTGATTCTTCTGTAGGAGGAGGTTTTTCCAACATTTGGCCTGTCTAGATGGGATCAAATGTCAGAAAAACCTTCTTTCGGAAGCCCCCTTATTTCTCGTGGAAGAAGGAATACAGGGGTTACCGAATGAGCATGTTTGCTCTTCCACTAAATAAAGCGGAAGAACAAATGTGTCCCTGGATGCAGAAGAGTTTTTCCGGATATCTCTGGAATCCTGAAAAAACTACTTCAGTCTAGCTGTACCCTCACTGAGTTGAGACAGGATGTGTGGGCTCTGAGGTGGGAATGAGGGATTTGGATGTGGGAAGGGGTGAGAGGTGCAAGCTCTGGGAGCAATTTGCATGCAGGAGGAGGTGAAGGGGATGCTGGCTTGCGGAGGGGGCTCCAGGCTGGGGAGTGTTGAGGTCAGATGGAGGGTTGGGGGCACTGAGTTTGTTGGCCAGGCTTCATTTTTAAATAAAATACCATGTCAAACAGAAAAAGTTTCTGCATTGTCTTTATTTATGAGAAGGGCAGGAAATCTGTGGGGGAGAGGGCGTCACTGACCCACAGAAAAGTCAGAGTGCTAATGAAGCTAACTGAATGAGCTGGAAGTATCCCATAATTACCTTTTGAGGTCAACTGGGTGTTGAATGTTAGAAAAGCATCCATTTGGCCCATCCAGATCAGGTTCAGGTCTTTGTTCCAGCCATGAGAAATAATGTCAAATTTTCATTTAAAGGCCAACTCTGCAATCACTCTCTGTAGTTGGTTTTTGAAATTGCTTTGTAGACAAATGGCTATTTTTAAATCCATTAATGAGTACCCAGGTAGGTTAAAAATTGGATCTGGCCATTTTGCCCAACCCTGGACTAGATGAATTCAGACCACAAATTGTTGTGAACTTATTATCAATGTAGAAGGATGTCTTCATCACAAGTCCCACTTAAGTCAAGGAGTTTTGAAGTGGGTGGCTGAATTTTTTGTCAACTTGTAAGTCACAGCTGTCAGTAGTGTTTGCAATCAAAATGTTGTGTGGTAGAGGAGCTTGGTGCTGCATTGAGCATGGATGATAGGGAAGGAGAAGATGTTGTGGGATGCATGGCACCCCAATGCGGTTGCCCCTGATGGTGCAACCTAAATGAATACTAATTCCTACCAAACCACATCTTCCTGTCCTAAAAACACCTCGGAAATTCAATACAAAAAACTTGACAGAGTGGTGGTATGTCACCCCTTGCAGAATGGTGAGTTGATTTAAAACTTCTGAAAATCAGGAAATAAAATGGTTTCACATTTCCTCGCATCCTTCATTCTGCTTTTTCAGCAATGCCCCAGTTGTGGCATGAATATTCATAATTGCATTCTCTTCTCCTCCTCTCCCTCCCCCAGGTCTCGAATTTTGCTTAACTCCTTGTTCTGCATTGGGACAATATGCCACCGAGCAATTCTAACAATGTAGTCTCTCGATACAACTGAAATGCAGACTTGTAGTTGAAATAAATACTGCCAAATGTATAACCAATTAATTACAATCAGCTGTATTTGAACAGTGTATACATAATCCTACTTTCAACAAAAGTGAGACATCCCAGTTTGTGTTGCCAGCACATCTCTGGTTTTTGTTTTTTGTTGTGGACAAAAACTTGGAGTAAGTGCTAAGAATAAACCCTTCTCTTGCAACCCACAGCTCATCAATATGTGAGCTGTGCTACTTCTGAGAAGGGACAATCTTTGAATATGCTTTACAGTAGAACAGAATTTCTATGAACTGGATAACTCTGCCTGCATCAAGTTCTGTCTAAATATCTAACAAAGGTTTAACTTGTTTTATTTGGAAGCTGGTGAAATACTATTGGCATTAATTATGGCAGTGACAACGCTTATTGTAAGTCATAGCCATGTAAATTCTATAAGATTCTATAAGAAATTCAGGTACAGGTTAATATCTAATAAATATGGTGCAGCATGTATATTCGCAAATTCAACAAGGGGATTACAAAAACAGCAGCCATTCATGCAACTTTCTAGGAAATGGGGCTTATTGTATTTGGGATGCTTTCTGGAGTCCTGTTGCATGATTTGAAGAAGTTTGATAGCAAGATTTGTTTCTAGGAACTGGATCTCCTGTACCTTCAAAAGATTTGATAACGCATTTTGCACTGTTTAGCTGTTTATTCCAGGATACCGTATTTTCCGGTGTATAAGGCGACTGGGCGTATAAGACGACCCCTTAATTTATTAGTTAAAAGATAGGTTTTCGTCTTATACTCACCGTATAAGACTACCCCCCCTTAAGAGGCCAACTGGCAGCGCCCCAGCGCCCCTCCACCTCCCCAGCTTTGCTCCCGGTGTCCCTGGTCTGCTGGAGACGGTCCCCAGCAGACCAGGGGCACCGGGAGCAAAGCCTCTGAGGACGCCCGCAGCGCTGTGGCTGCGGCTTTGCCCGAGGCTGGCGGCTTTCTCCCCCCTGCCCCTG